CATCCCCCCACCTGCGGCCGGGCACCCCGCGCTCCCCACGCTCTGCGGGCCGGCCACCCCCCCACCTGCGGGCCGGGCACCTCGCGCTCCCCACGCTCTGCGGGCCGGACACCCCGACTTCGTTTGCTCTCTAGCCCGCGCGTCCACGCCTTTTACAGGTAACTTCAAAGATGATGTCCAAGATTAGCGCTAATCCTTTCCAGGGCTTGGGTTCTCTGCCCCTGCGGGCGCTGCCGCTTACCTGGCTTGCTTACCTGAGCAAGGTAAGTCAGGCCGGCTCCTAGAGGCCACATTCCCCGGAGGTCCGTTTAGCATTAGGGTGCCTGGTTGATCCACTCCCTGGAAGCCATGTGTGAGCAGGACTGTCCAGTACGTAGCACGGGTGCCCTAAGCACCTGTTCAGTTCATCTCCTGCTGCCTATACTTCCACGGGCCACACCGGCTCTGCTTTTGCTGTGAATCCTCCCTGCTGTTCACAATTCCAGGATTAAGGGGAGGCTGAGCTGGGAGGAGGCGGCCTCTCCAGTTCCCACATCCAGTATCTGAACTTTCCCCTTAGCTCTTCCCTCTGTAAAGCCGGAATGGCGACCCAGCCAGCCAGAAAGAGACTAAGTAAAGCAATTGGAAAGGAGGAACGTGGGGAAAGGCGTCACTAGATCATCTGTTACTCCAACAGACCCAAAGCCTGCTGCTACCCTGTACCGGGGGGGGGGGCGCCTAGCCTGCAGGCCATGTGTCCTGCCTGCTCTCCGGGCTGGAGATGGATACACTTGTTGCATAAATTTTAAACCATTGACTTCTTTCAGTAGGAACTATGGGTAATTTTTAACACTAGGATTTGTAGCAGAAAAACGTGAAATTGACCATCCTAGCCATATTTTTAAATAGGGGAAAGTGCAAATGCAGTCTCCCACTACCACAAATTATGGAGTCCAGTTTCCCACATTTGAGGAAATCACGGGGGTCAGCACATCCAGAAACAATGGATGAGCCCCGCCCTGGGAAAAACACCTTTGTGATCCCGGTATCCCTACTGCCAGTCAAGTTCTGTAGCCATCTTTGAGTATGCCAATTATGGGCATTCAGTATATTCACAATGTGGCTTGTCGCTAGGATCTTTTCCAGATCTTTCTTCCTGTCATCCTCAAAAACACTGCAGCTATTAACTATCAGTTCTCACCTCCTGCAGCCCTGTAACTCTCTCATCTAGGTTGTTCCGTTTGCCTGTTACACATATGTCACGGAAGTACCATGGTAAACAATCTACCCTTTGGTGTCTGCTCAGCATATTGTTTTTAAGACTCGCTCACAGCCAAACAGCATCCGCTGGTGTGGCAGGAGTGGGTTTAGCATCTGTCCAGCACTTTGCTTTGCTTTCTTCTTTGGGGGGTTAGGCACAGTAAACACTGAGAGTAGTGCACACACACTTTTACTACCCCAAAATGGCCCATTGCCTCTGCATTTGAACCCTGGATGCTGCTTTGCCTCAGGAGCGTGAGATCCTGCTACCCCAGTCTCTGGGGGCTGCACTGAGGTCTGACCTGTCAGTGGACTTGCTGTTCCTCCATGTCCTAGCTTCTGCCTTGCTCTCCAGGTGACTGGACCCTAGGAGCTGGGAAGCATCCCCTACTGGGAGTCTTTTCTCTCCTTCAAATGTAAAGTGCAGGATCTCTGTCTACAAGGTCCCCTCCACTCTCCAGCCAGTTCCCAGACCAGACTGCAGGGACCCAAGAAATGGGACAACCCAGGAGTCCTTAAAAACCTCTGTTGGAGCCTGCCTGGCTATCCCAGAACAGGTGCAGGTGAGGTCCACTCCTTTGCCCCACAGAAGCCAGCCATCCCGTGAGTACTGGGCATTCTCCTCCCCATGTCTGAAGGGCCTCTCCTTCCTGCCATGGGTGCTGAATTCACGTGCAAGCCCTTCTAGTCCAGCAGGGCCTCTTACCTGCAGCTAGGTGCGCCCCCCTCCCCATCTGGTGAGGCAAACCCCCGCTAGCAGTGAAATAGGTGGACAGGCTGGTGCCACCCACAAGAGCAGGGCAGGCCTGGGTCAGCCCCAGCATTCAGGTACCCTGCCAGCCACCCATAGATTTGAGGAATCCCTGGAACCCACCACCTCATCCTTGTAACACCAACAGGAGACTCACAGCCAAGTACTAGAAGCTTAGAAAATTTATTGGACCAAAAACCAGACATAAGGGTGGCTTCCCTGTGGAAGCACCTGCATCCAGGGAACGTCTTCCTGGCGGTGACCTGGTGGCAGTAACCTGGCACACAGGGACCCTCTGCTCTCCCCAGTGGGAGGGAGTGGGGTAGGGACAGGATTAGGAGGGCCACAGCCTTCAGAAGGGACCTCTGCATTCAGGAAGGAGCCAAGGCCAAGGGAAAGCCCTCAGGCCTCCTAAACTTGAGAGGGAGCCGGTCCTGTCTTGGTCTTGGGTGGAGAACCCACCCCCAAGATTCTGGGACAGACTGCAGTTGGGTTTCATTATGGATTGAAATTGCATCCCCTCCATCACAGATATGGCAGAATCCTAGCCTCAGACTGGATGAAATCCCATTTGAGAGGAGGGTCTCTGACCTAAGGCCAGTTTTACTGAGGCTAATGGTTTTCAAGACAGCAGAGCAGATTGGACAGATGAGCGGAGAGACAGTGAAAGTGGCAGGTCCTGAGCAGTAAAGGGAACAGCTCCTGCTTCTAAGGCCTCCTTTCCACACTCCTGTCCCGGGAGCACTGAAATGCCTGTCATGATTCCAGGGGAGCCACTGTCCCTGCTCACTGCTGTGAACCAGCCCTGAGCTGACCAGGCCTGGCTGCAGGCAGTGGCCACTGTGGGGATAGCTCTGAGTGGCCAGGGCAAGCTGGACCTGTGACCTCAGAGAGCCGGTGGAGAGCAGGCCAGCAGCAGCAGGCTGTCACTCCCTCTTGCTGGTCGGGCCGAGGCTTCGGGGCAGCAGCTTGGTGTGCCCGGAAGGAGACAGTGAGTCTCCCACTGGGGAGTCCAGCTTCATCTTGTCTAGCACGGTCTTTTTGATGGCGGCAGGTGAGACCTTCTCCTGGTCAGCCATGGACTGTAGCTCCCTGCATGACCCATAGAGAGGCGGTCATCGGACTGCAGCTGCCTGGAGCCCAAGTATCCGCGGGGAGGAGCGCCAAGCAGAGGCTGCCGATGCTTGCCAGTCTGACCAGTGCTGAGCGCCTGTGCCTGAGAACCACCCTACCCTCACTTCATGCGTACTGGTTCAACTGGTGTTCAGGGTCCTTTCAGCCCTCGCTGCCTCCCAGGTCGAGGGCCAGACAGGTACCCACCTTGTGCGGATGCAGGAGGCCTCCACAGCATTGATGAGCAGTGAGCGGAAGCCCCCGCTCTCCAGGACATGCAGGGCATGGATGGTGGCACCTCCCGGGGAGCACACGTTGTCCTTGAGCTGGCCAGGGTGCTGCTCCGAATCCAGGAGCATCTTAGCAGCTCCCTGCAGCCAGAAGGGGCTGATGGCATGGGGGCACTTCCCAACGACCCCACCCCACCCCAGGGCAGGCAGAACACTGACCAGCAGGGCCTGAGCACCAAGGCGGACCGCCATGCGTCTTGGGAGCCCCATTTTCACGCCTCCGTCCGCCAAGGCATCAAGAGCAGTGAAGGCCTGTGGGTACAGGGGGTCTGAACCACTGGCCAGGACTCTCCGTGGCCCGAGGTCCCAGGAAGTGGCTCTGCTCAGGGCTCACATAGGCAGGGCCGCTGCCGCTGAGCCCTGTGACAGCGTCGATCAGGTCCTCCTCCACCTCCGTGCAGAAGCCCACGCTGCTCATGAGCTGCTCCAGCAGCCGGCCGTCCTCCACCTGGGCATGTGTGCCCGTGGCGTAGACAGTGGCACCCTCACGCACCACCACCGGCGTGTTGGTCATGCAGCGAATGACTTTGGGGGCCGGTTGGAAGACCATCAGCTTCTGGAGAAGAAACCAGAAGTGTGTCCCTCCGCCTCGTCCTAAGGTGTGGACACCAAAGCCCCACCAGCCCCACTGCACAGACCTTCTCTATAGAGCTGATGGTGACACCCGCAGCACAGGACACCACAATGTGGCGGTCCTGGATGTCGGCGCCAATCTCATCCAGGATGAAGGGGATGATGTGTGGCTTCACCGCCAGGAAGAGAACATCACTGTGCCGCACAGTCTCCTTGTTGTGGGGCGTCAGGGTCACCCCTAGTTTCTGCAGAATAGAGGGGGCACAGCTGCTGGACTTGGGTGCAGTCAAGGCTAGGGCTCTGGCTCTCTTTCACTCCCTGACCAACAATGGAGGATGCTTCCTCTGGAAGGTCTTCCTTGGACAGAGGGGAGAGCCCTACCACATCAGCTCACCTAGACATCAGACTGTGTGCCCTGATCTCTTTTCTCTAGATGTGGAAATGGAGGAACCTTGGCCTCAAGCTGGGATCTGGTCCCTGCCCTTGGGTCTGCAAACCTGATTCAGCCCCCAAGCTCTGGTCTCACCTGGCTGACCCCAGAGGCCTCCAAGGGGTGTCCCCTGCTCAAAATATGAAGCCCCCTACCCCACCAGTACTTCCTGCCCACCCACCAGTTGCATGTCAACCAGTCAGCCCGATCCCAGAGCAGGACTGTGAAGGAGAGGACAGGCTGTGTCAGAAGACACATCTCCGCACCCGCAGACACAAAGCCACACTTGTACACATGCATGCGTCCATAGCCTCCTACCCTGAGAGCCGAAACCGTGGTCAAGTCCATGTCTGGGGAGCTGGCCATTATCCTGTGGGCAGCCAGGACACCTGGGGGGAACGGTCCTTTCTCAAAGTCGGTGTAGTCCTGCCCCCTCTGCCTCCCCCCACCCCGCGGTCCAGGGCCAAAATCTCAGGTCAGGAGGAGCACCAGGACTCTGGACACGTGGTCTCCAGCCTGGCCGGGGGTCCTACCTGCACCCGTGAAGCCCTTGGCGAGGGCGAAGGCCAGCTGCCCGGCGCCAATGAAGCCCACACTCATGGTGGCTCCAGCGGCCTCTGGCTAGGCAAGCTCAGCTGTGGGGTGGGAAGAAGCAGGACCCCGGTCAAGTGGGCAGAGCCTGTGGCCACCCGAACGCCTCCTCCACTTCAGGCACCGCAGACCCCACCCCGTTTTCTCTCCAGGTGTGAAAGGCGATCCTGAGCCCCAGCTCCGCCCTGTCTCGGTGAGCTAGCTGTCCCCTCTGCTGCCCAGCAGTGCCCCAGCTGCTATGAGGATCCCCAGTAGCGGTGAAGGACCGTCGGTCCAACGAGACCGCCCTGGAGCTGCTGGCAGCGGTGCCGAGACCCTCCCCCGCGTCCCGCTCCGGCAGCCCTGCAGCCCCCCGTCCCACCCACCGGCCCCGCACCGGGCGCACCTCCCCGCTCCGGCGCCTGTCTCCTCCTCCCGCAGCGCCCGCCACGCGGC